ACTCTAATTCAGGAGCTAACAGATGCTCTACCTTGAACGCAGACATATTACACAACAGAAATATACAAGAGAATGAGTAAAAGTAGGTAAAGTTTAACTTACTCTCTGTCCTCAAATTAATATTCTGAAGGGATACCTATACCAGTAATGTTTAATTGTTTTGGTCCAGTTATGAAATCCAATGACATATACTGCTACAACACCCTAAGGAACCTAAAATTTCAAAACTGTTATTTCGAGGTAGTGACTCAACTTATTGGCTACTCCGGACTTGTAAAAATATGTGAAATAGTTAACTTTAGTTATTTAAATTTTTAATTAATTTATTATTAATTTAAATTGTTATTTAATCAATCAAAAACAAAGCAATTTATTCAGTCTACACAGTATATAGCAAAAACAAGTCAATTTAAGATATAGATATAGATATAAGGTAATGTCCAAAAAAAAATTGAAAAACAAAACTAAAAGTTAAAATGAAAATCTAAAAGCACAACCAGTGAAAACCACAACAACCCAAGATCAAAACCAAAAGTTAAAGGAGATATATATATATATACACATATATATATATATATATATATATATATATATATATATATACACATATATATATATATTTTAAGGCAGAAGTGGAAAAGAAGCCCCACGTTGGGCGCCAATTGAAACGAATAAAAATGTGTGAATTGACAAAGTTCAGAAGAACTGAAAGAAAAGTGATGGAAAAAAAAAATACTAAAAATAGGGCTAAGCTCAGAGGAACAAATTTAAATGGCCAAAGAGACACTAAATCTCAAGTGAGTGTTCGGGCTAGCTTCAATGCACTGGATTGTGGCTTTAAAGATTTAAACAGATAGCAAGGATACTGAGCTAATGAGACAAGAAACGAAATGAGACCTGGTAATATCAAACGTGATACAACTAAAGAAGGTCACTGGGAATAAATTTATAGAAAGAGAACAATAAGAAGAGAAAAGAAGGGCGTCAACTCAACGATAGTTGAGATTTTGAAGTAACAAATGAATCTGGAGGTAATACTCTGAAATACAAAAATACTAAATATTAATCTTGTTTTGCTATGTTATATACTGGTTAGTAGAACTGAAATAAAACTCAAAATAGCAACAATAAATATATTTATAAACAAATGTATATAGGTATATGTGTATAAACAATTTACATATAATGCAAAGCCAAATAACAGTGGTAGTGGATGGTGTACAGATACAATAGGACCTAATAGCCCCTCAACAAATGAATAGTCACTACCACTGGCCAAATAAAATATGAAATATTAGTATACAACAAGAATGGTCCGTAGGGTAGCCAAAGTCTTAAAACAAAAAGGTAGTCATTTAAATTTAAATTAGTTCTACTAAAATGAGGTACTAATGACAATATTGTAAAGATATCAAACTTGATAAATCTCTATTACAATTATATTAAATATATATATTACATCCAAAAAATGAGTTGTTCCATACTCATTATATAATATTTAAAAACAAACCACATTAACTTTATGTCCCTCTTAATATCAAATTGTATTATATTAACAAAAATATTATATCCAAAAAAAAGTGAGTTTGGTCAGACTCTCTAAATCCTAGTTAAAACCTAATAACACATGAAGTGTCCCTTTTTCCTCCCGAATATTTTATAATTAAATTATCAAAAAAAAATTATCATAAAGGTATTCACCTTATCATATGCATATGATCAGTTAACAGTAAATATAAAGTAATACGTAATACAAAAGGTCAAATAGTTAAACGACTTATCTTTACAGCACTATAAGTCCATAGGAAAAACTCCTCTTGGCACGGCTACATCAGTTTGTGGCTGTAAAGACGAATCCTGGTCACAAAAGCCACAACCAGTCACTGGTCTCTGGGTGACAGCAAAATCCACGGGTTTGCTAACTATGTATCTAAGGATTCTGTTACTAGTATCCTTGAGGGAATATTCTCAAGAGAATATCCTCAAGTAAAGTGAAATTAATATTTTCACGTGACGGAATCTAAAATGATTATTTAATTTAATAAATATGTAATTCAATAGGTGTAGCAGCATGGATTGACTGCACCAAAACAAAACATCAAAACATTAGGTATTAGGTTAAGTCAACATCATGTCAAATTTATGAAGTTACTTTCGTAGGCATGGCAAGCTTGCGCCATGAAAAGAACATGCGCAGAATATAGAAGGCTGTCCACATTTGTCGAACCTTTTTATATTCCACCAAAAAAAGTTAGATACAAAATGGGATCCAAAAAAAACTTAATGATAACGACGTGGAATAAAACAGAATTTAAGTTTGACTATATAAAAAAGATGACCTTCTGTTCTTTGCAAGTAAATCAAGGAAATTTTATATTTAAATTATTTCGGAACTCAAAAATAAATCTCTAAAGAAATACTAAATACAATGATAAATTTGATTATATGATAAGGAGATAATACGTATGAAATGATTTACTTACATGGAGCTGCACCACGCCAAAAAAATCTTCCTTTTATGTGGAACTCATAAATATTGATTTTAAAAAAATTTACTTATTATTATTTAGATACGTATTTTATTTATAAATTAATTTATTCTTCCTTGCTCCAATTCCGTCACTTTGAAGGTGAACAATTTCACCGGTTGGCGTGGCTGCGTTGACGAGTTCAGACCAAAACTAACCGCTTCGCTTCCGCACAAAATCGATCTTCCTTTCAAAGCGATAACAGCGCGTGTGGGGGAAAATGTCGATTCAAAATCGATCGTAGGCGGGTAATAAAAATTTCTTGAGGGGTTTAAATTGGACTAGTCAGTAGCGTAAACGCTACAAAGTGGCTATTTACCTTAAGGTTTACACTGATGATGGATTTCACATTCCGAAAACGTTCTGTAATGTAATTGTGATAGCCCGTTTGGGATTTTATTATATACCTTTTATAAAGGATTTGAAATAAATTTTTTGTGATATATGGTATACAGCCAGCTACAGGAACTTAGTTTCCTAGTGGATTTTTTTTAACACAGTACCCACAAGCTGTTCAATTTCTAACTTTCTATACCACTTTACTCCCTTTCTCAATGAGGTGGTGTATGTTTTCATTTGGTCAGACAGATCAATGTATGTTTTATGTTTATGGTAGTCAATTACAACTTTTTCTTTTGTCTGTGTTCTGTGAGTTCGGCAGTGTATTTTGTACTTAGAGTATAAACATCGCGTTTATATCGCGTTGTCTTTCATTTTTGAATCACCACTACTGTATTACTTTCAGCTGCAACTATTTGTCCGTTTTGCAATTTTCTATCAATTATATGTTTGGGATTTAATTTTCGGTTGATTCTCAGAGTTCCAACTAAATGAGTGTTTCTGTTCTGTAATTTATGGGCTAGAAAAATACTGGTGTAATAGTTATCTGTATAAATTGTACGCCCCTTATCCAGTAGGTTATTAGACAAAGTCAGTATGGGAATGGGCATATAATTGTAATAAACGATAGCAGATAACAAGACCGCATGAATCATACGGATTTGTTTTTGCGTGAATCGGCATATGATGCACACTGCTGTAATAAACGATATCATTCAACAAAGCACCGTGAATCATATGGTGATTCTCATCTCTAACTAACGCAAATTACCGCTTTTTTAACGTGTACACATATGCTTAGTTTTTAATTTTGTGTGTAGATAAAGGGAAAAATATTTACGGCTGGAAGGACCCTCTTTTTTCACTATGGTGGCAGTCGTAAGAGTTTAAGAACGATTTAAGCATAAACGCCCGGTGCTCTGCTGGCCATCTGCGTGCCATCGTAACTGAAAATCCGCATGCTCGCGCAATCTATCTACACCGTCAGCTCCCTCCTACTCAGTGCATTTCGGCGCCAGAATAATTTCAAATCTTAAATCCATTGACACGAGACACCCTGTACTTTTGATATTTTCTTTGTACAATTTCTTTGTTCCAAAGAAAACTTAGAGTAAGTTAAGACTTGTTTATTCTTGTACATATACATGAATTTGTTTATTGTAAATATAACTTTTTTACGCAGTGAATTATGTAATTTTTTATTTTACTAATATTTTTGCTTATTTTACACCTGCCAGGAATTTATTTATATCTGCGTATACATTGGACATATTTTCCATTTTTTATGTTGTTATACTTGTATTATGAGAATGTTATTTGTTGTTTTTTGGATTCAAATATTTAATTTTTTTTTGTAAACTAGTTTTCTTTTTATTTTCTTTTTTTTTATGTTTTTTGTTTATATCTTAAGCGTGTTCCTTACCTCCCTAAACGATTCCGCCCATCAACTACTGTGCAATGGTGCCCCTTCGAAACACAAAGTGTATCAGTGTCCTTAGCCTATTTCCTACAAGTACGGTTCGCTGTGTGTGTTACAGTAATATATATATATATATATATATATATATATATATATATATATATATAAAAGGAATTTTTGCTGCAAGCTGAACTGAAGATGTTGCTGCAAATTGGTCTGCATTAGTATATGCTACGCCACAATATCACAGTTTCAACAGTGTAATTTGATTGTTATTTTGACATAAAATAAAAATATTAGTTAATGAATTCATCTGTTTTGGCAATAACATAACGATGTTAACACAATTAGTAGAAATCCGGAAGATTTGTTACTTGGCGAAACTAAAATTCAAATATTTGTCTACTGCGCTTTTTACAATTTATAAAGTAGACAGATTGATACATTTACCGACAAGGGAAATCTACAATTTTCATTCAAATATATTTCGCAAATTAGTTTCTAATACTCCGAAAATGAGTAAATAAATAAAACAGAAATACGTTGGAGATTTAAGTTCAATGCAGGGCCACTGCCGCCCGCTTATACTCAGAGTACGGTCTCCTCAGAGCGACGTACGCAGAACCTCTGGATTGAAAATAAATCTCTCCATCACGTATTTCTGCCATCTTCATTTTATTTATTATTAGTATTTTTGTATTTCAATTTTACAGATATTTGCAACTTGGCTGTGCCTGTTACTAGTGAAGAATTGGAATGTCTCAGACACGAAATACGAAATTTAAGAAAAACCAGAGATTTCCTCTTAGACCAGAAACTCAAAATGGATATAAAATCACAAAATAAAAAGATATTGAACGAATTTGAAGAGCGAAAATTATTCCAATACGAAGAAGCAATCGAGGCCATAGACTTGGCGATTGAATACAAAAACGAAATTATTTGCGGTCACATTCCAGTCAGTGAGAGGGCACTAGAAAGAGTTGAAGAACAGGGAGACAAATTGTTGATGGATAGACTTATGAAATTAAGCGAAAGTGAAATGAGGGTGTTGTTACATAAATATTTCCAAAAGGTAAGGATTTTTTTTGTTAAATAAAATTACAAATAGTGATCTATCTAAGTGTAAACTTTAATTTCCTTTCATTAATTCCCACTAACACCTGATATTTTAAATTGTTTTTTGCCGTATTGCCAGATTTCAGTAAGAGCCTAAGAAGGTATCCATTGAATTCGGACAGGCAACGGTGGGGGAAATCTTTTTTTGACATCTACGTCACGGAACAAGACACCCTGGCATCTTTCGGCCAAGTAGGATACTAAGCCAGAAGACCCCAAGGTAATGCCGGATTAACCGTGTTCCGGCTAAAACCTTAACCACCGTTCCAAAGAGGTGGTCTTGCCACTCAATAAACAACTAAAATAAAAAAGAAACTAAAAATTTATAAATATCCATACCTATTACCATAAATCAGAAAATGCTTAGATGTTAGGCCATAAACTAATAAATAATATTAACTATAAATTTTTAGATCCCTGGGTCAATTTCCTCCTCTGTCCTCCTGCTCCTTTTTCTTCATCACCCCAGAAATCAGAGTGTACTTCTCTCCATTCTTTCTCTCCTCTCAACATTATGTTAACAATGTTTCTTTCATCCAGCCCGAAACCCATTCGCCTCTTGAAATCTCCCATCTCATTTGCCCATCTCTGGCAGTTAAAAGTGTGGGCGGGAGCGTCCGGTACCCCACAAACAGTACAGTCTGCCGAGGCAGATTTGCCTATTCTATTTGTGAAGGTGCCAAAACTACCATGTCCGGTCAGAAACTGCGTCAGGATGTAGTCTAGTTTCCTGAACTTACATTCCCACCACGGTCTCAGTTCGGGAATAAGCTCTTTGTCCACCTTGCCTTTCCACTATCATTCGCCCATTCTCTCTGCCACTCTACTATCGTTCTTTCTCTCTCATTCTCATGTATATTTACATCCATCCTCCTCGCATTCATCCGCGCTCGCTCTTTACACAACAAAACGATCGGTATCACCGCTCCAATGACGTATAGAGCCTCATTCGAGACTGCCCTATATGCGCTAGATACTCCGAGGAGCATTCGCCTTTGCGAAGTCAGCTTAGCGTATTTCGCAGTGTTTATTACACTACACCACACAGGAAATATCTTCTTGGAACTTACCTGTTAATAGAGCTCCCATTCATCTGCCAAAAAATAGTTGTTAGTTATCATACATATCTGTAACCTGTACAATTTTCACATACTCACTGGAAATTATTTTCTTATCCAATGTTGCCACCACAAAATCTGTATCAAAATAGTACTTTCTCAAAATCAGTGGATTAGTATGATAAATATTATTTACGTTTACTTTTATAAAAAAAAGTTTGTACGGGTTAAAATATTTTTCTAATTTAGCACTTTATGTTAACCATTTTTTTTAATGACTATATCAAAAATATGGCCTCATCGACATACTTAAATGACAATATGTGGCACGTGATAAATCATTTGAAAGCTTGTGGGTTACTAAGTATGCTTCTATATATATTTTTTTTGCGACCGTAGAATTGTGATAATACAGATTTCTATAAAAACCAAATGAATTGTATCGAACGTTTTGCGCAAAAATTGAAGACTATCAAATTATTAGGGTTATTCAATAATTTTTAACGCTGTGGCCATTTAACATCGGAGTACATGGACTTGGAGTTAGAAACGAGAGGAGAGATCTAGAAAAAATCGCAGAAGACAAAACTAGTTCTCACCAACAAATTCTTCCAATTGCCATCTTGAAAGTTGTACACTTGCAGATCCTCTCATGACAAATCCGAGAGAATCATTGGAAATCAAATAGATTACATTTTAGTAAATAAAAGATTTCGAAACAGCTACATATCTGTCAAGACTTATTCGGGAGCAAACATGGAGACAGACCACATTCCACTGGTGGGAATATTCCGAGTGAAACTCAAAAAAGTACAGAAAAGGAAAGCACAAGCATGCGATATTTTGAAAGACCTTTATACGAACATTGAGGTTCAAGTAATGTTAAACGAGCAAGTGACTGCGATCAGGGACGAAATGAACGAAGAACAAAAGATTAAACTTATTACAGAAATAATTCAAAATGTAGTTATAAAGGGAAACACTTAAAAACAGATAAAGGCAGACGAAAGAAGAAAAGCCAAATATAAGCCGGACAGATATAAATTGATAAATATAACAAGAAGCAATGGAAAGATGCGAATAAATTGAGACTACGGTACTCTCTACAAACGCGATAGTTACAATGTGCACGAGAAAGATTCTAACGAAAACATTATGTTGGAGAAACAGAGTAAAATAAGGATGTTGAAAGAATACCTGGAGAAACTGTTTAAAGATAACAATTTGAAGAAAGAGATAACACCTTTGAGCTAGAGGAGGATGTAAATGATGGATCAACTGATAATGGAATCATAAAGATACTCAACAAAATATGCAGCTCTGGAGAAATACTAATAGAATGACTGAAGTCTGAGTTTTTTGCACTTCTGAAAAAGTCAGGAGTCAAGAAATGCGAGAAATGCCGTACAATAAGCCTCATGAGTCATCCCCAAAAACTTTTCCTAAAGGAAATTCATCATAGTCTTTACAAACTGTGTGAGTCAAATTTCGTTCAAGCAGTTCGGATTCATAAATGCTGTTGTTCTATATTCTCAGTACAGACAGGTCTTATTCCAAAGATGCAGAGACGTCAATTGCGACGTATACACATGTCTGGTTGACTACGAGAAAGTGTTTCTTCGAGTACAGCACGTCAAGATGATGCAAATACTAAAATACACTGGTAGTGAGGCAGGGCTGTATTTTGTCTCCTCTACTTCCTGATCTGAAAGAATATTTAGCGAAGCTTTCCACGAAATTGAAAAAGGCATTCTACTAAACGAGTAGAACAACGTCAGACACTGTGCAGATTTGTACCATTGTCTTTATCATTGTCTTTAATGACACCATTGTATTTCCGGACAACCTAGAAGACAACAATATATAATCAATATAAACGTATAGAAGACAAAGCTCATGATTATTAAAAAGAAAAAGATAACTGAAAGTCAACTCTACGCAACCACAACTCAGTAGAAGGAGTGAAGCACTACCTCAGCACCGTAATAAATAAAGAATGGACCACAATCAGGAGGTAAGAGAGCGCATCGGAAAAGCTAGATCCATTTTCAACCGGATGAGGGCCTCCTTCAAAATCAAAAGCCACAATTTCTCTTTTGTTGTAAAAGGAAGAATATTCTGTTTTATGGTGTTGAATCGTGGACTTTGAACGAAGATATGTGCAAGCGTTTGAGATGTGCCTGTATCGGAGAATACTCAAGATCCCATGTACTGACCAAATTACAAATAAACAGGTCATCAGAAGAAAAATCGAGAGGTATTGAACACCATCAAATTTCGAAACTACAGTACTTCGGATATATTATGCGAAGTGAATCCATATGTGCTTTCTTACAATGTCATCCTTAGTGAAAAACATTTGGAAGGTGAGGTCCAGGAAGAAAATCATTCTGGTTAAAAAACCTCAGAAAATGATTAAACACAACATATATGCAGCTTTTCCTCGTTGCTGTAGACAAGGCAAATATTATCACGGTGATCGCCAACATTTTGTCACGGATAGGCTCATCAAAAAGAGAAACACCATTAAACATTGAATAATCGCCGTTTCAAACAGTGTAACAGAACAAAGATCTAGGAACGTACTGAGTGACAAAACAACGCCCTCTTTCTTGCAGCCTCAATATTTGCTAATGGTTTAATAGGTTCATCGGTAGTGCAACAGGTGGATCTTAAATACTAAGACATATGATACCTCCATAAGTGCCTGTCTTGGGTACTACTAATATGAATTCTCTTACAATATTTACAAATATGTCTTGCATAATTGTCTGCCATCAGCACCTATTTGATCTGCCCCTCGCTCCTTCTGCTTTCAAGAACTTACAACTTTCTTTTATAAATCGGTTGAACAGTGTAATAATTATTTTATTTTTATTTTTTAGGTCGTAGATTTAAGAAGCAGTAGCAAGAAACTTGAACTGCAAGTAATAGAATTCGAAAATCAGAACGAGAATCTAGCATGCCGCTTACAAAATCTGAGCCACACTCTTCAGAAAGTGCGACTAGAAGGAGAACGAAGAATGGTTTTAATGCAACAGCAGCATGAGGACAAGATTCACATAGTATTAAGGCATCTTGCGAACGATGGTACAGCAGATTCAGATCAAGTAATTCCTAGAGGCATCGGAAGCAAAGTGATACCAAGAACAGTCGGTAACGGTAGCAAGCAAGTTGGTAAAAGTAGTAGTTTGATAACAAGAATTACAAGTATAGCTAGGCATGAAATTGTACCTAGACAGTTGCAATCTGTGATTCCAGCGCCACAGGCGAAGATTACCAGACAAAAGAACAAGTTAATAATCCAGCAGACCACAAAATAGATGGATAATTTGCAAAATTTGATTTTGACATTAACTAAGTAGATGAAATTTAAATGAAAATGATAGTAGTAGGGGTCAGATTTGTATCGATGATTTTGGCTTGTAGATGACGTAAAACGCCGTTTTAAGGAGATTACTATTGGAATTTAATCAGTATTACTAAGATAATAATCATTAGATTTGTTAAAGAATATATTTTAGCTAGTACAGGATTCCTATATTAGAGTAAAACGAAAATTAAAACTCTTAAACTGATGAAAATATAAATCGGAAGTTAAGTTCAAGTAAGATTCCGCCCAAATCCGTATTTTCTAAAGGTTGCAAAACAAAACAGACGACGAATGCGCTGGCATGGGGATTTATAATTTGTATCCACGTCATATCAATTCGTCTAGGGGTAGGCAGAAATCCCTTCTTAGCTATTGTGTTTCTACATTTTGTCCACAATTCCTCCACATTTTTCTTGTTCCTCATACTATTATGTTTTTTAAGCTTGCAAAATTTATTAGCCTCAATCCGTTATCATTTGACTCTTCATGCAAGCTCTCACATCCTACATCGATCATATTCTTTGTCTAAGGTGTCGTAGAATTCATCTTTTTCGTCGTCTTTCTTTCCTTCAGTGGGTGTGGGTACACACACTATAGTTAAAGAATTTTCCTTTAAGACGTAGATAACGTATTCTGTTGTTTATGGGTTTAAAGTTAAGGTCTAATTGCTTTGCTTTTTTACTGACCAGAAAAGCACTGCCAAACTCGTGTCGGGTACTATGTCCGCTATAGTATATATTGTAGTCTTTTCCTAGTCCATTTTATCTCTTGAATCGGTATTACATCGGCTTTCATTTTATCAAGTTTTTGTGTTAGCAATTTAAGAGCGTCTGGGGCATAAAGGGTTCGTACGTTCCATGTGCAGATCCGTAAATCGTTATTCCTTTGTCGTTTGCTATGTCGTCGTAAATTAAACAGTCCTCCTCTTTGTGCTTTCATAACAATAAGTTTTTTAAAGGAAGAGGTCGTTAATCTTTTACCCAACCTCCTAATATTCGAAGGATCGTTTCTCCCGCTTTCGTTTGCCCCGACTCTGCTTCCCACTGGGGTTTGTTACCAAAATCTTCCACAGAGTTACACAAATCTTCAGGTTACCGGGGTTCACCGCTTGGAGGTGAGAGTCAGAATTGAGTAGGAGAGGCTAGTGATGCAAGCAGGATACAACGTCATATTTTCCGCATCACTACCCCATTTAAACCCCGGCATTCTGAAGTATTAAAAAAATTTAGTCTCGTTATCCAACAGATGAGGTAAAAATGTAACAAGCTCTGTTTCTTTGTTCTTTTTTTTTTCAAGCATCCTGTACCCAATATTTAAATTTATTATCAACGATTTTTTTTGTAATTAGATCTTCATCCAAAAAAATAGCCACAACAGCTAAATCACGGTTATCGACATCTTTCAACATTACGCGCAGAGTACCTTCCAGGATGGACTGACAAGTTAGACTAGTGTAAAATCAGAAATGAGTGGGAAGCAAGCCTGAAATGTGGCTCATTCTTTTTTAGACTACCGCACCTACCAGATTTTCGGAGCAACATTGGATTGGATTATGATCAGAACGCTGCATGATGGGTGTGCTAAGCCTTAATGCACGGCATTACATTATTTTGCTGTTCGGCCCATCGTGCGCATCTGCAAATTGTAAATTAAGTAATAGTTTTTGAGACAGGGAGCTAAGTCCATTGTATAGCTTGGCATATCTTCGTTTTCCGTTATGTGCATTTTCATGGTTTCATTGATAGGGATATTCGGATATAGTGATAAAAATCCAAACTGGCTACGATATCATCTTGCTCTAAATGTAGTTTTTATATTATTTCATTCAGGTGTTTTTAACTAGTAGTTGTTGGTTGGCAGCTAGATGTTTTCCAGTTTGTTTACATGGGAATTAAAAGCACTAACTATGGGTATAAGTGGTGTATTTTTAATAAAGAGTACAGCTCAACACATCTGCTGCAATTGTATCGGAGGATAACGCTTTTTTAACTCTCTAGAGTAGCGGATGTTACAAATTATTTGTTTAGTGGTCTTCTTTAAGTATCTGATCTGATCTTCCTTTGTTAGGTTTTCTTGTTCGGATTATCTTAAAGATTATGCATTTTGGTGTTGGCTTTTACCAGGCATGTTTTTTAAGTAAGTACCGTTTTGCGATTCCGCCGCCGCAGCGCTACGGTCGGCATTCCGCCCATGAGCGCTGGTTACCTACATCTCTTGTCTACGCACTGACGCCATTACAGTCTGATTCTTCATTGTATACCTGTTTACTCCAGTGTTTAAGATGTCTCCAACAATCGTGAGTCACGCTGATTGTGAAGTACGGGCTGTTATACGATTTCTTAGTGCTAAAGGCGTAAAACCGATCGATATTCATCGTGAGATCGTTGAAGTTTACGGACAAAACATTATGAGTGATGGAATGGTAAGGAAATGGGTGAGAGCATTTAAAGATGGCCGCACAAATGTGCATGATGAAGAACGGAGTAGGCGTCCTTCGGTCGTTAATGAAAATTTGGTGCAGAAAGTGGACGAAAAGGTGAGAGAAAACAGACGATTTACAATTTCATAATTGTCCGACTGCTTTCCTCAGTATTCTCGTCATGGACGTATAAATACGTCCATGATTCTCGTAGTGTTTTGTATCGCATTGTTACCGAGAACTTGAATTACCGGAAATTGTGTTCACGTTGGGTTCCAAAAATGTTGGAACCCAACGTTTAGGCAGTGCATTGACTTTCCTTGAGCGGTACCACAGTGAACGTGAAAATTTTTTAGACCAAATTGTTACTGGTGACGAAACGTGGGTGGCCTACGTCACACCAGAATCGAAACAACAATCCATGGAATGGCAACATTCATCATCACCCAAAAGAGTGAACTTTAAGCAAACAATTTCTGCCCGGAAAATCATGTGCACAATTTTTTGGGACAGAAAAGGAGTATTGCTAGTGGAGTTTCTGCCTCGTAATGAGACAATCAATACAGCGTCTTATTGTGAGACATTGAAAAATCTGCGTCGTGCAATCCAGAACAAAAGACGTGGCAAGTTGAGTAAGGGTATCGTTTTGCTGCATGACAATGCTCGTCCACATGTGGCTAATCGACCAAAGATCTCATCAAATCATTTAAATGGGAAACTCTAGATCATCCTCCATACAGCCCTGATCTGGCGCCCAGCGACTACCATTTGTTCCAGCACTTGAAGAAACACCTGGGCGGTCAGCGTCTTTTATCAGCGAATTTTATCAGGAGGGTTTTCTAAAACTGGTGCCACGTTATGACAAGTGCCTCAATATTCACCGAAATTATGTAGAACAGTAGATTAAGGTACAGGCTTTCATGTAAAAATAAAATTATTGCCGTATCTTTGCACGTCTTTTTTAATTCCAAAACGGTACTTACTTAAAAAAACGCCTCATATTTAAGATAACTGTAGCTTCTCTGTGGTCAGTTGGGATTACTATGTACTTATTATTTTTTACGAATTTCAATACTCTTTTTCTGCGGATATAATATTAATTTTTGAAAGTGTGACTTTTATTAACATTTTTGCTGCCTTATCGACTTTCTTCTGCAGTTTTTTAACTGAAGTTGTATAAGGCAGCTTCCATACCTGCAACGATATTGTTGTTTGATATTTTTCTTGAGGTTATAACAGCTGAATATTTAAAAATTGTACTCATATGGGATCCTGTATTACAGCTATATTGCTCTCATTTCAACGAATTATGGAGTATGTCGTTCTTGGATAACATAAATAGCAAGCGAATAAGTAAGATATTAGGAGTTTCTGAGTAAGTTAAAATATTTACATTTGATTGTATACTGAATTTCGTATGTACTTATTAATTCCATATTTAGTATGGTAAGTTGGTACTGAGTTTTGAACAAGCACTGCATTAGACATTATCGGTTAAAACTTTCGTGCATTTAGAATTTTTTTTTTGGTAAAATAACATAATATCATTGCACTTAAAGTAGATATCAGAAAGATGTAGGTTATTTAGTTGCATATATTTCAACAAAAACTAAATCTTTTGCAAACATCATTTAACGATATACTCATCTTGACTTAGAACTGGTTTTGTTCGTTATACCAACATTCAAAATTTGCAGCATTCTAACACTGGCATGTTAGATCGTTTATTGGGTCTAAATAGACTTGGTTCTATTTGGACTCAATAAACAGACAAATATTGGCATTGCTTGTTCTTGATTAGTTACTGAGTTACTGACAATACTATAGTCACTGGCCTAAGACTGAAAAATGGGCAAAATAAAATGGTACAATCATTTTAATTAATTCTTATATTGCATTGATAAAAATTCAGTAGATATACATGATTTTTTATCGGAAATGTAAATAGGAATATTAAAACAGGCAAAAGAGGAAATACGTTTTTTTAATTGCCTGTCATATAAAGGTTTTTTTTAGAGGCATAGAACTCTGAAATGGAATAAAACACAGATGATTTTTATAAATTGACATGAAATTGACTTAAGCTTTATAATTTAAATATGATTTCTGGCATATGACCATCATGGCTCGCTCTGACGTAGTCTAATCTGGAGGTCCAATTTTCGATCACTTTTCCAATATTTGTCGCCGTATACCGCCAATAATGCGGGCTCTTTTGTCGTCCAAGTGGTCAATCGTTTCATGCTTATCGGCTTAGACTAACACCTTTACATATCCCTATATAAAATAGTCTAGCAGTGTTAAATCGTGCAATATTGGAGGCCAATTCACGGTTCGAAATGTGAAACTATGCGGTTACCGGACGTTTCCTTCAATTAATCAATTGTTACACGAGCTTTATGACATGTTGGACCACAATCCTCTTGTAGCAAAATTCCAACGTCATTTAAAAAAGATACAAAAAAGCTACATAGTGATAAACTAAACATACAAAAATTAAAATCAGAAGACGTCAAAGAAAAACTGAAACAAGAAATTAATGCAAACCGAGAATTCACACCGGAATTAATTGATGGTGGCAATTTTTAAAAAATGCAATTATCGAACCAAGTCGCAAAGAACACAACAACCAGATGCAAGAAAGGAGATTAGGTGACAGAAGAAATCTTCTTCTGTCACCTAATGAAGGAAGGAAGGAAATGATGGAGGACAGAAGAAGGCAAAAGAATATCAACATAACTCAGTATCAACAGCTGCACAATCAAATAAGAAGCAAAATAAGATAAGCTAAATAGATTTAATTCACTGGAAAATATCAAGAAATAGAAGACTTACAAAACAAATATGATAACTTCAATCTCCATAAGAAAGTTAAAGAATTAGCTGGGGTAGCAAAACAAAAAACCTCAAGCATACTAGGTATTGGACAAACAAGGAAACATTTTAGTGGAGACGGAACAAAAATTAGGAAGATGGAAAGAATATATAGAGGAATTACTCTATGAATTACCAAGTGAATTGCTAAAACTGGTCAATGAAAAAACATAGATCTTTAAGTCCAACTACTGAACAAAATCTATTCCACAGGAATCATTCCACGTGAAATGCTAACATCAACATTTATTCGTCTACCAAAGAAAGTAAATGCCAAAGAATGTAGTGATTATCGAACGATCAGTCTAATATCACATACTGCTAAAAATCATCCATAATACAATTCACGCTAAGCTGGAGATGGATATTAGTGATTCCCAGTTTGGATTTCGGAATGGAGTGAGCACAAGAGAGGCACTATTTTCTTTTAACGTGCTGACCCAAAGATGTTTGGATGTTAATCGAGATCTTTATGTATGCTTTATAAACTACAACAAAGCATTCGATAAAGTAAAACTTAACCGACTTATAGAAGTACTCAAAAACAAGAATCTGGATGTGAGGGATGTAACATTGATATCAAATTTATACTACAGCCAACGATCAAATGTAAAAATTGGAAGAGAAATGGAGATAAGGAGATGGGTCAGGCAAGGTTGCATACTGTCGCCGTTATTGTTTAATGTCTATTCTGAAGAAATCATACAAGAAACTTTGTATGAACTCATTCAAAATAAATTTGTACAATTTAAAAGCGTTGTTCGGGTGTCAAGTTTATTTATACTGAAATGCCAAACCAACTTAACATAAATAACTTGACAGCTGTTAAAATGGCCGACAGTTAACAAAGTGTTACCAACTTACATTTCTATACCTCTAAAAAACACCCTTTATTTATCGAATCGATTAAATTAATATCCTTATAAAACGTTAAGGTCAATAATATGTAAATTTTATTTTTCACAATAAAAAAATAAATGAAGCATATTCATTATATACTTTAATAACACATTCCAAGTAGTATAAACCAAATGTACGTGAACAATTCAAATAAAACTACAGCTACACAAGCGTGCATATTATATCGCACAGTGGTTGTAAAAATTTGATTGTAGAGAGATTATACAGATACGGAAAAAACTTATGGTTAGTATTACAAAATTAGCGAGAGATACCTAGCATTATGTTTTTTTTCACTTATCAGACAGAGATCAGAATCACATTTCCTCCTAGTCTCCCCATTGAAACTCGAATGTTTCCGATCGAATTTAACACTGTTTAAAATATCATCCTGCGTTGCCAAGTGTACGATAATTATTGTTTTATACGATAATTTCAGTTGATACTAGGATTATCCTCGTTTAAAATAATATACAAACGTTGAAATGAAAGCAAACAAAATTATGCTATTGAATAAATTTTTCCAAAGCGATAAACTAGTTATAACAAATTTGCACAACGAAATAATAACAATGTATAAAGATCTATTGCTTACTTACATGTACTCACAATATCTGAGACAAATTAATGTTGAAACAATTTATCCCAAGATATTACAAAATTTGTCAACATTAACAACATGTATGTAAGAATTCGGGTGACACAAAATATTAATGAGTTAAATGTTGAAGTAAAAAAAGAAACGAATTTGGAAATCCAGGGCAAGATATACTTTCTAAATAAAACAGTTGCCAGTATTTTACCACTAATGTCAACATTACTCCGAATTTGTAAAGCTCAAGACATACAAACGATACAAAAGATCGATGACGAATGGAGAAAACTTCAACATTACTAGAATATTCCAATAGAATTCGAAAATCTGGATGAATTATACTTTAAAGTTGATCAAATAAAACATTTTGACGGTAATCTTCCATTTACTGATTTCAGTGACTTTGAAATTTAAATGCATTTTCAAAAGTTTTAATAAAAGCGAAGTGCAGGAACCGCTTGGTAACTGACTCTTTATATGGATCCATTTATCACAATCACTTCATCTTCATAATGGTTGTCAATTTTACACCGTCAAAAATAATGATTCAAGTTGAGTTCAAATTAACTGAATAATGAATATTTTTTACTTGTCAGTTTTTTTCTTTTAAATAATTTGTTTATTTGTCTTCGTTTGTTTCTTTTACAAAAAATTAATATATTATTTTTCTACTTTGTTGATTTCTTGTTCAATAGAATATGAGTAAGTACGATAATACGTACTATAAAATACGATCGGCATACGATTTTCTGACTTCGATGACCTGGCAACGCTGCTCATACAGAAACATTCTTCGAAACGAATTGGTTCGGTGGGATCCGCCCACTAGTATCGTTTTATATATGTTTCTCTCTATTCAATCCACCGTTGAAAGTCATATTCATTATATTATTTATCTATATAAGAAATGTAATTTTATTTTGTAGTAAAGATGTAACGAGTTTGTGAAAGTATTTGCTAACAAAATAGTAATGTAGCAAGCATCGATTTCTCTTGTTATCAAAGAGAATCATTTAAAAACATTTTTTAAGGATATTGATTTAATCTACAATAAGCTGTTTAAAAAAGTTTATAATATTTTTTGTGATACTTTCGTTGTAAATATATCAAATAAAAATAACTAGTTTTTATTATATATACCTGCATATGTAACAAATGGTATCAAAAGGAAAATAATTTAAGAACAAAAGAATAAATACGACAGTATAAATAGGAAATTGAAACACCTAGTGAAAATAACAATAATTGAGAAGCTTAGTATCAAAAATGAACAACTGCATTTTTTCAAAATTGAGTTATAAGGTACATTCTTACATGATATAAGGATACCAGATATGATATTGCCACGCACTAAACTCGTACACTCACGCGCATGACGTCACCTTGTGCTAAATTTTCAAAATGTATTCATGCTTGCGGATGAAACCAACTGTTGAAATTCTAATATAATTTACTAGATGTTTTATTTACTACGTGAATTTAAGCTTAAGTATTTAAATTAGTATATTGTAAAAAATAACAATTTTTCCATAAGAGTGAAGTTTGATGGAGGGAGCCATGGCCGAATGCCACAAATTGCAAACTATGGAATGTGATTTTCATACAATATATATATTTTATATATAGTAGTTAGGTATTATTGACTGACACGTTAGGTAAACTATTTCTTTTGAGGTTGCAGTCATTAATAGGGCAGAATAAGTATTTATTTATTTATCGTATGGCAATTACAACACATTTAGAACAAAATTACAAACACTAGTAATATAGGTATATGACAAACTTTAAATAATTACAAACAAACATCAAGTGTATTAACATAATCAATTGACTCTGAAGTTGCAAACAGGAAGTCTTCAGGGCTACCGTTGTAGGATCTTGAGGGACACTCTTCAATAATGTGGTCGATCGTTTGGTTCTTCCCACAATAACATTGAGGAGACGGATTCTTTCCCCATTTATGTAGCATGTATGCACATCTGCCATGTCTGGTTCGGATCCTGTTTAGAGTGGACCATGTTTTACGTGGAAGATCAAAACCTGGTGGCTTATGGGTAATATAGGGCATGTTATTTTGCCATGCATTACATTCTTGGTACCATGCATTCGTGATGTTGAACTTCTCATGTATCATTCTTGCCGTTTTCATTGGTGGTTTTCTAAAACGTAGACGGGTATTTCGTTCATCCTCGGTATCTTGGTGGATCGGCAGGTTTATATTGTTCATGATCTTTTTGTATTCACGTGTAAGTGCGTCAACTCGTCGTAAATGTGGAGGTGGAATGTGACTTAATACTGGAAGCCATTGGGTGGGAGTTGATTTAATTGTACCAGCTATCATCCTCATAGTGCTGTGCAGCTGAGTGTCGACCTTTTGTACGTGCGGACTGTGTAGCCAAACTGGGGCACAATATTCAGCGGTCGAGAAAACAAGGGCTAAAGCAATAGAGCGGAGAGTGGAGGCCGATGCTCCCTAGGTGGTACCGCAGAGCTTTTGTATAATGTTATTTCTTGTACTCAACTTTTGGGCAGTTTTTGTTAAATGCTCTTTAAATGATAGCGTTCTGTCTAGTGTTACGCCCAGGTACTTCGGTGTTTTGTTGGGGTCACTCACCAGTGTTTTGTTTGTCTTCATTGGAGAACCATCTCTAAACGAAGCCAAATGTACGTAAGTATAAAGCGAAACGTCTTCTATAAACTTATAAAGTAGTTGACTTCTGTTTTATATTTTGCCAACCTGAATGACCGATTCATCACTTCAATTACTTTCAACAAAGTGCTTAGAGCAAACACGAGCAAATTTAACATTAAAATTATCCTGGCATTTACAAAAAATGTTTCCAAACAGCTTGCATTTCCTTGTCTTTTGGAAAGCTATAAAATGCTGTACCGGGTACAAAACTCTTGCACATATTGTGAACGGCACAGCCATACACTACACACCTCATATCGGGAAAAATTTAAAGCCTTGTAACACTTTTAAAATATTATTTTATTAAATATTGGCTATGAACCGTAAATGTACATAAACGTCAAAACACAATATGGCGAAATTTAGCACAAGTTGACGTCACAAAAGTCCTGCATAAGCCACGCCCACATGCGCGGTATCTTATCTGTTTGTATTTGTATCATGACATTCTTATAGGATTTTTTCCGAGGAATTCAAATCTGAATTGCTTTAGTTTCAAAAGCGGCTAGAAAATGCAAAAAATTCCATTTTAAAACGAGCATCAGTTTCAGAAACGGACAGCTCCAACTTGATTTTGTAGCAGAGTCGGACTACTCCGTTAGAGCCAATCGAATGGTAGTATTTCCGTCACGTTGTCATGCGCACTAGAATAAACCTACTGAGAGTGGCCATTACGTTTAAAGTTTGTAACAGTTAACGTCGTTATTTTAACCGTTTTCGTGTTTTTTAACAATATTTTCGATATTTTTCCGAAAAATGGAAGTGAAAGTAGTTGAAGTACCTAAAAATGAAGCCAGAAAGAGATTAGTCGGCAAAAATAATTGGAAACGGGAACAGGATAAGATTAAAAGGTAAGTTAGCATGTCGTCTATGTATATTAATTTACGTCTTGTCATGGTTTATGTTATTTACGAACAGTTTTTGGTTTTTAAATTACAAATGTATAAATTTTAATTTTTATCCCTGCGAAGATTAAACACGTGTTTTTTGTTTGCTGCAGGTATTTTGCGAAATCACTACCAATTGTACCGACTTGTAAGCATAGAAGTAGTAATAAAAAATGTTGCCAATTGCTAACTATGAGAGATGTTTCGCGATTCCATTCCGCTTTTTACAACTCCAAGGAGAAAACAAAAGCAAGATATTTTTCTTCTCAAGTATTGCAAGGAATATGCCTTTTTACAGATTTTACGGATCACAAAGCATCGAATAATAGGTGTATTCCAGCGTTTTAAGAAGGATGGTTCTCTGGTGCCCCAAGAAACTCGTGGTGGCAATAGAAAAGAGGCAGCGTTTGTAGAAAAACAAGCATCTGTTATTAATTTTATTAAAAAATTTAAGGAAATTCGGTCTCATTATAGTAGAGGCAAGAGCAAGAGAATTTACCTTAGTTCTGATTTGAACATCAGCAAAATATACGCTATGTATGATCAAAGCACAGACGAAAATTGTTTAAAGCTAAAAGAATCTTACTGTAGACACATTTTTAACACACGTTTCAATGTCAGTTTTTCGTCGCCTCTTACAGATGTTTGCTTAACTTGCCTTGAGTTTGAAGAGAGAGTGAAACAAGCTACACAAAAAAGGACATTGATATGATTAATTCATGGGAAACCAAAAAGAAGCTTCATAAAATGCATGCTCGAGCATTTTTTGACTATTTACGGGAGCTAAGAAATGGACTCTTGACAATCTCTTTCGACATGCAAAAAAATTTGCCACTTCCAAAAGTATCTGATTAAATGGCATATTACAGTCGACAGCTGTACTGCTATTATAATCTTGCTGTCATTCTGGTAATTCGTCAACTTCACTGAATCCAGACTCTGTCTCAATTTATACATGGTGTGAAAACGACATGCAAAAATCGTCCAACCAAGTTGCCTCTGCTGTTTTTACAGAGATATGTAAAAAAACTAGAAATGGAGATCTTGCAGAAATTAATGTGGTTCGTTTGGTTGCTGATGGTTGTACGGACCAAAATAAAAACATGAATGTACTATCAATGTGCGCGTTTTGGTTAAATAACTATGCTTCTAATAATGTGGAATATGTTGAACTTGTATTCCCGGTAACTGGTCACTCTTTTCTTCCAGCGGACAGAGTTTTTGGTATGCTGGAGAAAGAGTTTGAAAAACTGACAACGATAATTGAAGTGTCAGAGTACTTGGAGGTGTTTTTCAAATATGGAAAAGTAAAAAAACTGGGTGAGAATTGGACTGCGCTAAATTGGAAAGATGAAGTTAAAAAACTTTTAAAAACCGCTCTTCAATTTTACCATTTCCAAGTGCAAACGTTTCCGTTTTGTTCGCAATAAAGCTAAAACTAACGTGTTGGTTGCAGGAGAGCTGGCATACAATTCCGACACTGGCAAGCTGTTTTCTCACTGTTCAAACTGTTGTTATCAACAGGTCCTCGAAGAAACTTCGTCTCAGGACCGTATAACGTATATAGGGTCATACGTCGCCATGTTACCAATTCCAACGGTAACTTAAACATCCTAATTTGTAATTATATATAATGTAAAACAACTATAAATTTGTAACATTTAACGGGTTTTGACCCATATATTTTGGTGGCTCATAGCATGTATACCCCGTGTACACTGATGATGGAATTAACATTCCGAAAACTTTCTGTAATGTAATTGTGATAGCCCGTTTGGGCATTTTATTATATACCTTTTATAAAGGATTTGAAATAAAATTTTTTGTGATATATGGTATACAGCCAGCTACAGGAACTTAGTTTCCTAGTGGATTAGAAAGATACGATTCTGACAAACGAATTTGTTCTGAACGTTGGTTAGTCTCGTTGACAATAGTTCCAAGATATTTGTACCCAGAAACTCGCTCAATGGCCTATCCATTAAAAACTAATTGTCTACGATTCTTAGCTTTTTTGAAACGACCGTCATTTAGGTTTTCCCGATATTGATATTATATAGGAAAAATGGAAAAGCACTTGGCCCCGATGAAGTAAGTGCTGAAATACTAAAGTTTTTGGGAGAAAATGGAATTAAAGCTCTGTGTAATCTCTTTAACAGAATTTATGACACTGGGATATTACCAACTGATTGGTTAAAGTCGACATTTGTCACAATACCTAAGAAACATCGTCCAAAGACATGCGGTGATTATCGGACAATAAGTCTGATGAGTCACGTTTTGAAAATCTTTCTGCGAGTAATACACAGCAGAATTTACACGCTGTTAGAGGACAGAATTAGCAATACTCAATTTGGGTTTAGGAGTGGCTTGGGTACAAGAGAAGCCTTGTTTAGTATACAAGTGCTAGTACAGAGATGCAGAGATAAATCAAAATGTGTATATTTGTGCAATCGATTTTGAAAAAGCTTTTGACAAAGTCCGACACAACAAAATGCTAGAAATATTGGAAACAGCTGGATT